TGCAGACGTTGAAATAAATTATCTAAACCAATGATTTAAACATTTGTTTCTTCAAACCAAACATGAATACAACTTTAAGGTAGACCTGTCTTTTTAGCGTATTATTGTGGTAGAGTAGTGTGCACATACACATTTGGAACAGCCTCCCAGACAACGTGGTCGGCCTGATCACTGACAACAACCTCCAGTCATTAAGAACGACTCCGGCATCTTCTTTGCACCATCAGCACCTCTACATGTAGCTAGAACCTTGCAGTTGCTGTAAACCAATGGTTAGCCTGTAGTGTAACTGTTATGTTACCAACCAGGCTGTTGTTTATCTTACTGCATTGTAGGAAAAAAGTACTTGCCTTCCAACTGTGTCACTTGTTTGCAGTCTTGTGCCTGTACATCTGGCCACCTCAGAGAGACTGCCAGCACCATCGCCAGAACAACGGTGAAGAAAGCCATGTTTGGACGAGCCCTTACGGCGGAGGGTAGAGCTGAGGCCTGCCTGTGTCGGCCCTTCTTCTTCACCGACCCGAAATTGAGAAAACTCGTTCACACAACCTGTTTATACCTGCTAACACAACCCGGGAGTCCCTGTAATCAGGACATTTAAATTCAATTAAAGCTGTTGATTACCTGTGATTTTCAATCAAGGAGTCAGACAAACCACGCACGCAAGTGTTGACCTTTCGGAGGTCAGCGTTTCTTTGTGTTTCCTACAGTCATTTTGAGTCTTTGTGGCTACCAAATGGGGATGGGAAATGTTTTGTTGTGTGATTACATGTCAAGGCCTTTCAATTCACAGAGCTTGTCTTTCACAGAATGTTCTTGCGTCAGTTCAAAATACCCTGGCGAGTAACCATGTTATTTAACTTCAATGACAGAAGAATGCAAGTCCTTAGCGGAGGCCTAGGCTCGTTAACTACATGTATGGTATCGTAGCCTTGTCCGTGTTGTGTCCCAAACCATTTCTGTACAGAAGATACAAGGTGTGTGACCGCTATGCCATTTAGTGGGGTCGTGTGACGTATCGACAGAGCGTTCGGCTCGGAACCAAGAGGTCCTGAGTTCGAATCCTGCCATTTCACCGATCTTGTGTCCTTGGAATAGGCACTTTACACGAATTTCCTTACGTAACTCAGGTGGAAATGAGTATAACTGTTGTCCGTGCGTTTGTTTACGTTGGTGGCGGCATAAAAATAACTTTAAAAATTCCCTTAGCATGTCTTGTCATTAATGTTGTAATTAAGAAAAAAAGTCATATTCATTGTAGATCATCGTACGATTTGATGTTGTAGAATATTTGAGCTAGCTGTACAAAAGCCAACCTTCATCAAAATAAGTTGTTTTCGTGGTCTCCACTCTTAAGAGAAACCTTTCTTCCATCAAGACATCGCCAGTCGTCAAGGTCATCAGAAAACGCCTTATTTGATTTGAAGGTGAAATTACTACTCCGAAAATGAGGTCAAGGAGGGCCATGCGCTATTTTGCTGAAGGTAATGAGAAAAGTCTGTCATTTCAATGGGGAGTGATGATAGGACCTTACAGCAACACTATGGCAAGGTAATTATATTTGCAGTAGAGGGTGGTGAATGATGTGCTTCAAGGACACTTACATAAGTGAACTCTTACATACGTGAAGTCCTTTAGATCGACCTTGGAGCAAGTAGCCATGCCGTGGTCTCTCTTCTTTATCAAAGGAAAGTCTTCGTAACGTTAAGCAAGGAGATATTGCCCTCTAACTGATCTGTTGAAGTTATTGTGGTTGGGTGTCTGAATTTGTGTGTGGGTGGTTGTGTCTGTATTTGTAGGTGACCGTATATATGTATATGTATGTGTACGGGTGAGTATATATGGGTGTGTATGTGTGTGTGTGTGTGTGTGTGTTTTAACGAATATTGCACTAAATGTATTGAAAGTTAAATGTAGGTTTGTCCGTTTTAGTAAGAGTTTATATTTCGGATGAAATATTTACTACTAAATATTATGGCATAGCGGCCAGTACCTAACGTGTGCAATTGCGCCATTCTGCGACACACGCGAAAACAGCAACGAAACGGAATATCCTTCAAACATATTTTGAGGCCACACTGACTTGATTCTATGGATGGAATCCTTTGAAGACCAAGACAAAAGACAAAATACCAAGATACAAATATTGAAGGTGTCCTTGCTATCATTTATAGTTCAATGATGAAGGTTAGACATCCAGGCAATACGATACGTCAAAAAGCAGTCACTCAATCAACTGGATATGATTTGGAAACGATCAGACGTTTCAGGTAGTATCCACTACCTTTCGTCAGTGTTTACTTGGTGTTCACTTTATTTTTTATATCAATCAATAGTTTGTGCTTATAAACCTGCATTTCTCCTCTGGTCTCTCAATCACTGACGAAAGGTAGTAGATGCTACCTGAAACACCTCACCGTTTCCCAAATCATATCCAGTTGCTTGACTAACTGCTTTTGGACGTATTTATAATTATATTAAGATTTACAGTCACGGCAATAAGCACGTCACAAAAATTCATACATCTCATGGAAAAAGTGTATTATTACATCTAGATCTCGTTTATACATCTCAGTTGGTACTCGACACATTTACATAACAAAAATACTCGTTTCTATCTAATTTACAGCACATTTCTACTCCTTCCACCATGTTTGTAACTAAGGCCACAGCAAGTAAATTTCATGGATGACACCCTCCGCAGACTCTAAATCAAATGCAATAGTGCAAAAAAACACAACGGGTAAAAAAACAAGATACATACATTTTCAAATGTGCACATCATAAACCTTCTTGAGCAACTACCTGTAATGTGTTAATCTTAATTATTATGGGTTCACCACACCACGAAGTGGTGTGGTGAAACCATATTGCTTTTTCTGATGTTTCTTCTTCTTCTTCTTCTCCTGCCATTTTTTAAATGGATTCAGCTTCTTCATTTTAGGGCCCAAGGTCCTGAAATTTGGTATGGAGGTACAGTGGGCAAATATCCCTAGGCGTTTTTTAAATTATTGTGATACAGGCTTTTAGAATGGTTTTATTTGAGTTTTTTGGCTGTGTTATAGCAAATGTATTACTGTGTTAGTGTGCCTTGTTTACCACGTTTGGGCATGAGTCATCACAATGGAATGCAGGGCACCAACCAATAGGCATGCAGCTTTCCTCTATTCTTCTTGCTGATTGGCTGTTGGGATTTAACTTGATTAACACCTGCACAGAGCATTTCCACCTGCACAGAGAATTTCTTGCTGATTGGCTGTTGGGATTTAACTTGATTAACACCTGCACAGAGCATTTCCATACTGACAGTATGTCTGTATTCAAGTGTTTTGGTAGGTATTTCAAGCTTTCCTGCTCCAGCATTGGAATGCGGGGCATGGACGTTTTTTATTTTATTTTGAAAATCAACAGTTTGCATTATGCAATTAAAAATCCTAACCAATAAAGTAGGGAATAGCTATCCAACTGTTGTTTTAGTTGTATTTTACTTCATATTATAGTTATATCAATGTAAATCATTGTTTTCCCTTGTGTTTCTCATTCTTTCCCTGCCATGTCGTAAAATGTGGTGAACCCATCGCTGTATTTGCTCCAAAGCAAATATTGGCCTTTCTAGTTACAAGATACATTGTCACTGAAAAATGTAAGTCTTCAACCATTGTACAAATGGTTTTGATTCAGTGGGAACATCACATTTAAAAGGATTGAAATGCATCACTGCTTCAAAATAAAAGACGAAACAAAAAAAAACATTGTCTTGTCCCCTCTCTTTATCTTTGCCCGTTTTTGGCATGTTGAACACTGTAGGGCAACTGAATTTCTTTTTTTTTTTTCAAAATTAGGCGAGAATTAATGCGCGCGTTGATGTCGACATGTCATCCATATAAATTACTTGCGGTGGCCTAATGTACGCTAGACAAACTCACAACGATAATGATCTGCAATATGTTTGCTTTTTTTTTAAAAGGACAAGTTGTTAATGCCAGTGCATATCTCTAAAAATCGACAATACACACCAAAAAGCTGGACATATGACATAAAGCCTTGTCGTTTTTATATTACTTCAAGTCGTTACTTCTTCAGATGCAACATCCTCGATGAAAATCCCGTTACTTCAAAATTACAATGTAGAAAGATTGTCATTCGGGAATGGATTGTTCTATGGTAGGAATTTTGGCTATATGGCGAGTTTTATATTTATTGTCGCTTTGACTAGCTTCCATGATGAATAGAGCTATTAGGAGCCTTGTTGTACGTATTAGATATGTGACGAAATACACATGGAAAAGTACAGCCTACAAAAAAACTGTGATACAGCTAAAGACCCTATTTACTCCATTTACCGAATTAAATAAATAAATATATATATATTTTCACAGGAAAGTCTTTAAAATCTTGGTTTGCTTTACATATCGTCTCACTACTTTACAACCTCAAATTGGGATTCTCTCATTCAGTTTTAGGAAATTTATCGTCATTTCATTTTTTCCCTGGAATGTTATATTAGCCAACCCTACCTTTATTCAGAATTATGAATATATGCAAGGATCATCAATAGCTGAAAACCTCAATCACGAATTCACGATAGAATAATATCAATTTATAATTGACTAGCAAAAAATGTGTAACATTTTTGCTCCAAAATTGTTAATATTTTAATTGCAAAAACTTTCTGGTTACAAGTTACTTCTACTTTTCAATATATATTTGCAATTAACTCACATTTCTGACATGTATAATTGGCACTGAAACAGCTAATAGAACAGGTAGTAAACAAGAGATACAAAATGCTAGGGGAATATAAGATTCTCAAGTATATATGATTTAGATTAAAATTGGTACCTTTCATCCCCTAGTAAAGATTGTAGATATCTAAGAATTTGGTCCCTTCCTGGTTTAAAGGTCACACAAAATTGTAACCATTTTGTTTCTCACATAGGGATAGCGATAGTATTAACACAAATACTCACACACGGTTGAAATAGCCCCATTCGGAGCCCGTTTGTATATTGTTGGTGCGAAATGATTTCTTCCAAAGACCTACACAATAACCTGCTCTCTGCGAGGCACATTATAGTATCTCATGGGCTGGATTGCTTTGTAGGGCATGACGGGAGGTTTCAGAACAACCGGAACCCCATAATCCCATACGGGCACCATCGCACCGGAAGCGGAAGCAGCCTCGATCTGGGCCCTCAGCATTCTCTCCTGTTTCCACTTCCGGCTCACGCAGCAAACGGAGATGGAGAGGATGAGGATGATGGAGCCCAGGCCGGCACCCAGGTACAGCATCGTGGTCCAGTCGCCCTCCCAGCCGATGGTGTTTACTTCACCCGCCGTTCCACCCGCCTTCCCTATACCGTAGGAGCCACGGGGAAGGTGGTAGGGTCTGGAAGGACGAGATCAAGCGAGGGTTAATTTTTGGAGCAAACAGAAAATTTATAATTCCCACTTGAAAGGTAACATTTGCAAAGCAGATGCATAATGTTTACCCTTGCATATGGTCTGCTCTGTTAACTCTTACTCAAACACATTGTCGAATATACATGTATGGTCAGACAGAGTCTAAATCCCTCCTGCTAGAAAATTGCAACATGATGTAACCCAACACTAGTTACCATGGGGACAGAAGTCTGGTTCAGGACATGTTCTTGATAGAAGTGAAGTAACACGACATGAAATGATAATTAAAAAAATGTGTTAAAACTCACTCATCTGGTCCAGTGTCCATAATCTCGTACAGACTTTGCTGGATTGTCTTCACTGGTTCTTTATCCTCGGTAGTCATGTCCAGGCTTCTTCTCTGAATCATGTAGGAGTCACCACTATAGTTCCCACTCCCCATGATCCAGTACACTTCTGCCGGATCCATGACGAATATTGCCAGCAGGCCTGGAAGCAAAGAAACAAAGGGGATAGACTATCTTCTGTTAATGAATGAAAGACCTTCATTGTACGTTTATGCTCTCACAAGCTAAGTACAGGTCATGAATAAACAGGGAAAATACTACAGCAATTACACATTTAAGTTAAAAACTATACATACTAAGGTGATCTATTTACAGGTTCAACATCTCGTTTTTAGGCAGTAATAGATGTACGAATGTATGAAGCTAATGATACATGGTTTGTCAAGTTTCATAAGGAATACGATTTTTTTTCTTTTTCTTCTAAACGTCTAAAGCTGGGAAACTTATCTATTATACAGGTATAGGGTGAATCCCCCTTATTTCTGTTTAATGCACAGTCAGCTACAAAATGACACTGATCCTCAATTTGATCTAAATCACATAATTAACAAATCCGTTGCGGTTATGTCTGCCTTTCTCTGTGTTAATAGAGCCATGTTGTAAATAGCACCCAGTGAGTGTTAGGAAAGGTGTCGTTTCAAGCTGATTGTATTATGTTTGCAGTAAAGAATGAGGAATGATGCGATTATGCTTGTGATACGCAAAAAAACACACATACAGTTACTCAAGGATCTGGATATATGATTTTGGAAACGGTCAAACGTTTCAGGCAGCATCCACTACCTTTCGTCAGTCACACTGGAGAGTTGTCATAAAAGCATGTTTCTAAAGCACCAAGCATTGGTATGCAAACCAGTAGTTGTAGTTTGTAGTTTGAAAAAGTTAAATAAATCAAGACAAGGATGATAAAAATCATATTTTCATGGATGCTACCTGACCGTTTCCAAAATCATATCCAGTTGCTTGTGTAACTATTTTTGGCGTATCTTGGTTATGATTGATGGTTTTGCAGACAACCTATGATGTTTATTATAATTACATTAACAGCATCCGTCTGTTAGTATCTGTTTAACTATTTACTTTTCTTTTCATGGTTAGACATACGGATAGATGGATAGACAAGCATTACAATCTATGTGTTTTATAAACTTTGATCTGTGACTCTGTGAACTATAGACGTAGAAGTGTATTTGTAACATTTACTCCAAAGACCCCCTAGCGATACACACACACACACACACACACACACACACACACACACACACAAACGAACGCACACACACATGCACACAAACGAACGTACACAGACAAACACACACACACACACACACACACATAAATACACAGAGACAGACACACGCACACACACACTTTTTAGACACTACACCTTTGCTATGAATCAATATCTTTCGGCAAGATGTATTTAGATTATCCAGGAGATAATTATTATCAAAAGGAGAAAATAATCGCAAAAACAAACCATTGTTCAGACCATACCGTTTAATGTCAACACATCGCTATCCAGGTAGGAGGTACAAGATGATACAAATTCGAACTGAATATATTATATATACAGCTACAATTTTGTATACAACGTATTATGATGTACATTCGCAGACTTACGTATAATATATTCTACACATCATGCACAGTACTGCAACATTATATGTGACATCGGTCTTCACTACATGTAATACAATTTGACATACTATATAATCTAATTAAAAAGGTCTGGTTGTGACTTAGATCGTAGGCACATTTGTGTACGCAACATTTGACAACTGTACTCTTGTTTCTGTTTCTGAGTCAAAACAGTCTGAACATTTAGAAGGATCTATTTCCCCAGTGATATGATGTTATTAATAAGGCAAGACGTGTTTACAATATCTATAGATACATACAAAGTATATATGCTAGTATACTTACATTAATCAATTCTTGGGCTGAAATCATTGGAATTTAGGAGACTTTTCTCAGAAGGTTTACTTCATTATACACAAATATTGCTTCCGTTTTGCATTGCTTCTTTTGGCATTGGACTAACTGTCATGTGTGCCTTTTCCAATCTTCTTATTCTTCGTCACTTTGAAGAGGAATAGTAAGCTTTAGATTTGCTTACAAGTGTGTATAATAATTACAACCTTATTACATGTACAACCCCCATGCACCAGCAAATAATGCCCGCACATATTATGTTCCTGTTGCACATTACATTACTTATTGATATGATTAACAACCGTAATATCATTTTACGATGTACCAACAATTAATAATGACATTTTATTTTTTAACACAAAATTATCATTCCAGTTCTACGTATTGAAGTATCTTCATCAACAGCAAAGTCAAGATGTTCAACTAACTGAAGATGAATTATTAAGTTATGCAAGTAATTATTTGCTATGCTGACATTTTAGACTGCCTGACCCTATTACATCTAAAACTACACTCAATCCATAAGTTTAGATGCCTTGTAATCAGTATTCAATGCAAGCATTACAAGCATTTGGACATTACTATATACTACGTACAGCTAGGAAGGTAGAAGCTACGATTATCAAGAAAACTGACATAAAATTGTTTTCAAGTTGCCTATCAAATGTTGGGTTTTTACTGTAATACTTTAGTACAAGACAACAGTGATGTCATGTTGATATGTGTAATTTGTCGAAAACATATATCGAAGTAGACACTTTAGGTTTATAAATATTACACATTTCAAGTTGTAAGTCACTTATCTTACATCTCATGATTTACATTTCATGCAGATATTACTGTTTTTACATATACAAATGGTACATCATGATGCTAAAGCCTACACCATAGTAACAATACTTTTAAATCAACATAATCTATCTTGAAAAGCCATGCATAGTATTCCCCATGCTGGTCGAATTGATTATTCCTTGAAAATCTATTAAATGAAAAAGCGTCAAGCATCAAGCTATTGTTATATTCACTTTCAATACATAAAATATCTACAACATGTCTACACAAACATTAATAATAAATCACTATATGCTACAGTTACTTTTCAAACAAAATCTTGGTAACGCCTTTAAGCTTATGCGCGAAACATCACGAGTAATTAACACAGCTAGGCTTGAAATGAGAAGTCTGAGACGTGCCTGTACATGCAGAAAGATGTGGTACAATTCGATCCTGAAGGCCCCGAGGGTCTTCTGTCAAATAAACTATACAATAACCTGTTCTCTCGGTGGGCAGGCTGGGTATCTCCACGGATGGGTATGTCCATTTTTCACGGAGGGTGCTTGGAGGAGAACCGTCTCCCGTGGGCCCCAGAGGGGCACCATGACTCTGTAAGCAGCCTCTAGTTGAGCCCGTCTGATTACCTCTTGTTTTTCACGCTCCCTAAGCAGGCAGCAGACGAATATGGCGAGGATGAGTATGACCGAGCCGAGCCCTGCTCCTAGATACATCATGGTGGTCCAGTCGCTCTCCCATCCTAGTGTTGTGACGATCCCCGAATTTCCTCCCGCATTTCCAACTTTACTGCCGACCCCTCGTGGAAGGGCAGTTGGCCTGGATTAAAGATGTCAAAAAAAGAGAACTGTTGAATCACATCAAGAACAAAAACATCAAGAATTCCGCACAGGGGAAATCTGATGAAGGTACACTCGAATGTCGTATTGATTTATGTACTAGCCTGTTGCGATTGCTTTTTTAGGTGTATCATACAGAAATTTAGGGCCGAATTTAGGACAAATTCGTATGCATTCGTTATCAAATCACGTCTACGTATGTTAGAATGTCTGCTGATGCTTACGTGTCTTCTGCGAGGTCCCAAGCGTTGATTATACTGTGTTCGGTCGTCTCTACTCGTTCCTCATATTCGGCCGCCATGTTGAGATCCTAGCTGTTGATTATGTAAGGTGTGTCGGAATCGTTTCCGCCGACGTCACTGCCACATCCGGCTGTCAAACCGTCAGGTCAGCTTTGTTGTTGTTTTTAAAAACAAAATCTCCACGACTCAAATAACGACAGTACAATGCTGAGGCTACTAGTATTTAGCAAAGGTCTGGGTATGCCCCACAAGCTGTATCATTAGCTTTCTATGATAAATGGTCCACACGGTAAGCGGGTGCGTTTTCTAATGAAATGCAGAGCCCAGAGGCATTTTACATCACAGCCAGGAGAGCATCGTTAGATAATTATAGAACCAGGAATAAAGATACATGGGACATTGATGAAACGACTCCTCCTGCAGAAGCATAAAGAAGGCTTTAAGAAGTCAAGTCACATAGGAGCGTTTTATCTCTGTAGATATTCAAACGCATCTGTTTCTGCCACTTAGTACGTTATCATTTTTTTTTACTTGAAACTCCATTCTAATGTAATAATCATTGTTATATTCATTTGTTTATTTTATTCAAATGTATCTGTTATGGTTTCTGCCACGGTACGTACGTTTTCTATGTATCACCTGAAACTCAATTCTAATTATGTAATCATCATCATCTTTATTTGCATATATTCATTTTATTCAAAGGTATCTGTTATGGTTTCTGCCACGGTACATACGTTTTCTATGTATCACTTGAAACTCAATTCTAATTATATAATCACCACCTTTACATGCATATATTCATTTTATTCAAATGTATCTGTTATGGTTTCTGCCACAGCACGTACGTTTTCTATGTATCACCTGAAACTCAATTCTAATAATGTAATCACCATCTTTATGTAATCACCATCTTAATATGCATATATTCATTTTATTCAAATGTGTCTGTTATGGTTTCTGCCACGGTAGTACATTATCTATGTATCACCTGAAACTCAATTCTAATTATATAATCACCATCTTTTTATGCATATAATTATTTTATTCAAATGTATCTGTTGTGGGTTCTGCCACGGTAGTACATTATCTATGTACAATGTATCACCTAAAACTCAATTCTAATTATATAATCACCATCTTTATATCTATATCTTTATTTTATTCAAATGTATCTGTTATGGTTTCTGCCACGGAACGAACGTTTTCTATGTATCACCTGAAACTCAATTCTTATTATATTATCACCACCTTTATATGCATATATTTATTATATTGAAATACATCTGTTAAGATTTCTGCCACTTAGTACGTCATCTATGTTTCACTTGAAACCACATCATTGATTTTTTCATACCCTTATCTTATTGTTTATTTTTTTTATCGTATGTGCGATTGGTCCCCCCTCACTGTATGCAATCATAAATTAAATTAATTGCATACCGGAGAGAATTAACAATAATTGAGGGTTTTGGAACGTTTCCCAAAGATTTGGAGTTATCGATGTAGCGTGTGATAAAGACATAAAATTTGCAGTGTAAAATAACGATAAGTAACAGAAAAATGAAGGAAAACATGACAATTTGTAATGAAAGTTATTTCTGTTCATTTTATTCCAATATCTCCAAATATATCTTATCAGGAACCTTATCTAAATGGACAACCATTAAAATAACATACAGTGTACCCAGATCTTTTGGATTCAATGATATCATTACTAATATGCAGCCATTCACGTACGTACAACAACACAAGCCTTTCTAACAACACTGTTCATTATAAACATACTGATGAAATACCACCCATAATTAATTTGTTGTAGTCTAATCATTTTGTTTTAGTCTAAATGAAAGCGAATTAGAGTCCTATTATTATCTATTTATTTTCTTGTTATGCTTAAGCAATATCTACTAAGAGCGATCATTTATTTGTGCACATTATGTTAATAATACAGACTGTCTTAATTGTTGTACGTTTTAAACATTATACCAAACATACCCTTAACACTGCATTTACAAAACCATACCTTCATGCCATCAAACGTCAACGAATATCACTTCTCTTAAGACCATGATCTATTACAGGCAAAGCAATGCAGTACACTTAAGCTTCCCTACGAATATGTATCTTTATTTTAACCTTATGGTATCTTAAGATAGTATTGAGTTAAAGGTAATATATAAAGCAATCAACAATACTCTATTGCGTTGCTATGCGTGACCAATAATGGACGAAAACCGAGATGAATTCATAGGCAGTATTTAAAGAGGAGGCCCACTGAGTCATGGAGATTGCTTCGGCTGCGCATTTCGTTCCGAAATGTTCACCATCACCGCAGCTTCAGCTGCATCGGTTTCAGCCCTCTTCCATTTCTTCAGCAGTTTCTTCCGTCTGTATAGCAGGCAGCAAACAATGAACGCAAGGACGGTAATGGTTGAGATGAGCCCGATGCCGATGTACAGCATGATAGTCCAGTCCCCTCCCCATCCTAGCGGGGCCAGGCTTCCTCCACCGCCGCCCGCTGGCTTGCCGAAGGAGATTACACCACGGGCAAGGTAATACGGTCTGCAAAGTGTTGACATCAATATTAATGCTACGGCACCGATAGGGTAAGAGCACTTAGGGAGCGTACGTTATTTTCACGGCACAAGGTTAGAGATAGACACTTATTTTGTAGTATAGCTATGTTAACAGCGGTTAGAATGCAGGTTAGTAGCTATGGAATTGGTTTAGGAAATAAGATAGTTGAGGACTAACTCTTCAGCTGTAACGTCGACGATGTCATAGAGATTCCGCTTGATCGTTTCCAACCGCGTTTCGTTTCTGGTCGCCATCTTGAGAGTGCGTCCATGGATCTTGTGAGCTGCGTCACTTCCGGTTCCGGTGGCAAGCGTCCAGTACAGCTTGGACGTTTTCAGGAGGAAAATTGCGACGAGGTCTGGAAAGAATTAAGGAAACAAGCTTTGTTCTATCAGTGAAGTGTCATTTTTACGGCCAAATGAGTGATCTTCTATACGGTGCTTAAAATACTTAAAGTTACAACTATTGCTTGAAGCTCTTGAAAGAATTATTAGAAATGGTCTGATTGAATTTAAAACGGACATGGCTACCACTAAAGTTACGTTTGCATATATGACAAACAACAAGCGATTTAATATATGTCTTTATTTATCTTAAATACCGTTGCTTCACAAGTGATATACTTTTATAGATGGTGTAGTTAATTTTACGAAAAGAGTTGACATCGGGAGGAACTATAATCACAACATAGTCACCACAGTTACAAATGCAAATAAATGTTGGACAGAAGTATATATAATGTATCATATCAGACTGAAGTTACATACTTTTACATTATACTTTATTATGAATATCTATACGTTATGAAATTGTACAAACGGTCAACAAGTACACCCATAGATATAGTGGAGAGCCAATATGGCCCATAATTACATTGTAACAATTGACTATATTTTGCCAGTGGAAATATTTTTTGTCCAGTAAACATCAAACATTTGTACAAAATGGTTACAACTGACGGGGATTTTTCTTCAAACACGAATTAAAAGTTTCGATAGTATTCACTATAATGCATACCTTATAAGCTAAAAGCAACAAGGATAATTTTAAATCTGAGAATCATTTCTATTCTGAAATGGAATGTGTAGAGAAATTCCACCTGTGCAACATATAGATAAAATTATTTTCACACTTGCAACTATTTAGCAACAGTAATTATAACGACCAAGACTGCATTATATTAATATCCTCTTGCATAATAAAGGATGGTATTCAATAGATATGTACCCTGTATAATATGTCTATTTACTGCATTAAATACATCGCCATTGTTAGCTAAAACACGTTCCTTATGCAGACAATAGGACTATGCCCACACATATTGAACATCAGATATAGCCTGTTTTTCTAACTCATCATTCAGTGACAGGAAGATACATCACATTACAATGAGGTACAGGGTTGAATAATGAGATAATAATGGCTTATCTTATTGCACATTTATCACTGCACGAATGGTAACAAGACTGGAATAAAATTTAGATTAGATTTGACTGGAGACCATATATCATGTGTCAAGTATTGCTGCGATCTACGGATGTGGCGTTTATTCGTTTTCCCTTTGGATTTAGAAACCATCTTTGATGTGTCTCCTGGCAATCGATATGAACCTAATACACCTCTTTATCGTATTCGTGGAATCAAAATGGAATATAGATGCGGTGTCTATGGAGAATAAACTATAGTCCTATAGAAATAGAAATATATGTATAGAAAGCCCTATAGAAATAGAAACTATAGCAATAGAATACAGAAACATTAAAATTTACAAAGATATTTACAGACAGATAACGTATTTTATGTCTTTTACTCACAGAATTATTTGAAATGCTCACTTTTTTAGCTAGTCGACCCAAACATAAAATAAGTGTTGTCTCTTTTTTTGTACCAAAAATCAAAATGATTACCCTATTGCACGAAATTCTGTTCTCTTTGGGGAAAATGATCTAAAGACAACTGCTTGCGGCTATATTTTTCTCGACGTCGGTCACTGCACCGTTTCCTGACTTCCTCTAACTCGTCTTTGAGTTTCGTTTTGACCGTCTCGTAATTCAACGTACAGAAAATACAAACTGTGAACAACCCTTTTTAACTCCAGGCCTTTGATTAGAACTTACTAAAATTGCAGAAGTATGTAAGGAATCCATTGCTATTCAACCGCTCCATATCAAATTGTAAAAGGAGAAAGGGAAGAAAAAAATTATATACAAATGATGGAAAATTCGAAAACTGAGAGGAACTTATCGATGCAATCAGTGTAGGTACTAGGTAGATACTTTTCTTCTGAAGAATATAATACTTGAACTGAAACATTTTCTACGGTCATTGGTCCGCACGTCTCTGAAAAACACCCTAGCTTCGACATGTAGGGCCCGGCAGTCCAGCTCAGTCCAGCTTAAAAGCTATCCTTCCTCCTCCAACTCCTAGACGTCTTGGACTCAAGCCGGAGGTTTGAGAACCACAGGTACGCCTGGATCCACTACGGGAATCATGACTCCGGACGCAGCCTCTATCTGTGCCCTTCTAACTCTCTCCTGCTTCTTCCGTTGATGTAGCACACAGCAAACAAAGATGGCCAGGATGAGAATTATGGCGCCAAGACCGATGCCTATATACAACATGGTTGACCAGTCGCCCTCCCAGCCGATTGGATTGGCCACGCCGCCGCCGCCATTCGGCTTTCCGAAGCCAGCAACACCCCGAGGAAGGTAGTACGGTCTGAAGAGTACACAAGGTTGTATCAGATTCAAAACTAAAAATACTAGCCTAACGTTTGCTTTGTCAATTTGAATATGTCGTTTACAATGTTTTATTACAGGTCATAAAAGTTGTAAATGCAATTTTAGCATTAAATTTTGTAGATATTATTATGAAACTCACTGTTCTGGCATGTCATCCACAACGTCATATAGACTTTGTTTTATAGACTCCAGACGGTCATTTCCGGTCGCCATGTTGAGAAAGCTTCTGTGAATCTTGTGAGATACGTCACTTCCGGTTCTAAGGGTCCAGTGCACGGTGGGTGGACGAAGGACGAAAATTGCGAGAAGTCCTGGAAAAAATTAAGTAAAGTATACTATTCTCTCTTGCCTCCCCTATCTTTTACTACTTTTATATTGCTTTGCAAAATGTATCTCAAGCTAGGTTATATGAGAGTGAAGACAAATATTTTAACCACCAACACATTAGTCAAGTGATTATTATACAAATTATTCATTATGTGCCTCACTAGTCATTGCACTGGCATAATCATTGAAGCTTTTCTACACACGTATTCTGCCATTGCTTTGTTCATTGCTCTTTCACGCACAATGAAGCCTAACTATTCTAAAATGTTAAACATGAACGAGTAATAATAAACTGCCGTGTGCTTATGTGATATTTGCTAGTATGATGGGCACAAAATCTTATAAAGCTAAATGGGCATATACGAAAATGTTTTGGAGCTTCTATAATCGTCCTTCAACCAACGAATAGTAACACATTGAAACCGTAACCCTAACCCTTACCCTGTCGGTTGGTGACTTCGTATTGCAATTTGGACGCGAGACAAAAGACTATCCCCAAGCGAGTAGAGAGACTTTGTGTTGGCGGATATTACTGCCAAACAAGCCAGGATCAAGATCAAGTTCGTGGTAGTCCTTCTAATCAACCCGGCAGCTTAACTTGGCAATAGTTTGACTAGTACTCGGCAATAATCTGTACTGGTTGATGACTGGCTAATGAGTGAAAGGAACCGCAAATATTGATTACTTCATTGGACAAGGTACTGGGGAGAAAAGAAACGGCACTAGAGAGAAAGAAAGAGAGAGAAGAGAGAAGAGAGAAGAGAGAGGCAGAGACAGCGATAAACGGCGCCAGACAGACAGAAAGAGACAGAGACGAAAAAAGGGATCAAATATTGAGTTACTTTTATCAAAACAGATACTGACAGAGAAAGAAAGTGATAGCTAGAGAAGGAGATAAAAACTGAAATAAAGCAAAGTTAAAAAATTGGTGCTTTTACTTTAATACTGAGCCTTAAAGTTGGCTAATGCCATAAGGCCTCTGCGTTATTGAAAGCTGTACGCATGGGTGCCTTGACATAAGCTTCGTCTAAACTGCAGAAGATTAGAATCAGCCGGAATTGGGGTCAATGGCTGCAGGCAGAGACGCACTGTCTGGTGATAACGAACCGCATATTGTCTCCTCCTTATTGAGTGTACTCAGTCTGATAGAATGTGCTGCTTGTGCCAACTGTGTAACGGCTGCGTACGATAATATCGTAACCTTCAGCGGCACAAAATGCCACAAACTGAAATCACAGACATCCCTTGCCTCATCAAGCATTCCCTCTGCCATACCAGGGTGCATTCCATTACCTGTAGCTGATTCTTATATAACCTGATATTTATCTGCTCTACTGGGCATTCACTCGTTTTAACAGTTTTATCTAAAGAGCTTTTAAAAGGAAAACTTATTTTCCGCGTAGAGCTTCTTTCCACTTAAGTTCATGACAGCTGCGTATGGATAGTATTCGTCCTTGGGCTGACCCTTTTGGTTCTAACAAGAGTGTGTGTGTGTTTGAAGTGGGGTAGATCAAATATAATGAGTACGTACGCTGGAAAAGGTCACATGTTTGCATGATGTACCATGACCTTCATCAACTAGGCGAACAGAACTCTCTCAACCACATCTTTCCTGCTCCAGGTTTCTCCAGGTCAGAACTTTGACACAAACTCACTGCAGCACTCCACAGGTCCATTGCCAAATCAAAAAGATTCTGTGCCTCTTCTAGCTGAACCACACAAACGTTTAATTTGCTGTTATAAAATTGTTTACCATAACACAACTGTGGTTTATTAGATAATGTTACTTGTGTATATACCTTGCTTTAACTGTTTATTGTTGCTTCTGTGTTACATGTGGTGCATGTATTAGCACGATGGTCAGATTTGGGCCCAAAAGTCCCAATCCGCTACTATGGAGATCGAATCCCCCGAACCCGCGAATCTTGTTCGATATGACGTCATTCGAATAGAGCGGGCGTTCGATCTGGGGTTACCCGCGGTCATTTACAGTAAAGCCGCTACAACCGGCTACTTCAAGCCCTTTTTTACTTGGGAACCACGGAACAGGAAAAATCCACCTTTCCACAAATATGAACCGTTTTCAAAATATTACATCTATGCCGTGATTTTATTGTGGATATGTAACATGTAACGAAGCTACTGCCGTCATCGTGGGTGACCTTGAAGGTCAGAATTCTTGTATACGCTGTTATAAAATCCAGGTCCCCATATCCAAGTGTCATAGCACGCGTGCAAACATGGTATTTTAACCATTCCCAAAAATCGCTCATATTACCTCATTGAGGGCTTGTTTGGAAGAGCAACGATTTCCGCAGATTTCTGTCTTAGGGATTTTTTAAATATGGCCGCGATTATGAGTTATCGGTATTTAAAGTTAAAACACTGCGTTTTTAGCTCTTCTTTTGACTGTAAGTCGAGTTTTAGTTAAAAAATAAAAAAATCCTAAGACAGAAAGTTTAAATTTACTGTAATATTTCTAAAAATCCAAAAATCTAACCTTATTTTTAATTCTCGGGGCCTCTTAAAATCAGTTGTTTGGTTCTCGTGAACCCTTTTTGAAATCCGAAATTGATCTCATTTGGAAGCAAATGTACACAAAGTGGAGCAAAGGCAGTGCAAGAATAACATTTGAGGTAAACAAAATCACTTATTACATTTTATTTTGACGAGTATTTACTCTCCAATTACTTATGTTTATTTTCAAATTTTACCCGTTGCCCCCGGACCGGCCCGGGACTCCCGCGCGGCCACGTTCGAACGCGTTCTGTAACCCGATACCTCCCTAGTAATGCGACTTTTAGCCTAGCAACCGACCGCCGTGGTGTACATATTATCAGCATACTTGCTACCTAGTGCACATTTTGTATTGTCCTGTTATAATTTCTAAATAGATTAAGAAATAAATAAATAAATAGATAGAACACTGTGTTCCAAAAGTAAGAATACGACTCAACTGAACGACATCGAATATATATTGCCCCCTAACGTAGTTATAAATATTCGGACAAAACTACAACACTAGTGCCTGTAATCTATCTTGTACGCCTACGGTTGGAAAGACGCTGCAATGTTCCACATAAACAAGTTCTCCAGAGACAGACCTCGTGTCTCTTGCAGCAACGTGCCAATTACCAACATTCGCAACAAGCACATCCAAGGGCTTAGAAGGTCATCGTTATACATTCCTCTCTGAAAGCGTCAATTCAAATTAAATGCTTTTTTGTACGGCCATTGAGTTAAATGCATCTATTTAGGGCATTCCTATAGGTTATCAGGCTAATTCCATAGATATTAGTCGACACTAAATTCTTTTGTATGGGTCAGAATCATGGGTCATGAATATGTCACATTCTAGAAAACTAAACGGAACATACACGAAGATGTTGCGAGTGGTTTTCAATACACCATGGTGGAAACACACTACTAATGAACAGTTATACGGTTCGCTACCAAATGTAACTTCAGTAGTCAAATGTCGACGACTAAGCTTGGTCGGTCATGTAATACGTAGTGAAGAACCAGCCAGTAGGCTTCTACTCTGGAACCCTGATACCTGTAAGAGAAGAGTTGGACGCCCAAACATAACAGTTAAGAAACTTATTGAAACTGAAACTGGCTTGGAGGGACATGAACTTTTCTCAGTGATGTACGACAGACAGTTGTGGCGAACTAACTTTGTATGCTCCACCTCTACGGAGGATGAATGATGATGATGATGATGAAAGTCTGGAGAATCAACCCCCGTTCTTGTGATGTTTACGTCCTCGGATAACCTCCCAGGCGGTAGAAAAAGAGCAGATTGGATCGATATGAACTACAGGGCGGCCTGGAGAAGGCAGGGGATTCTTTAGCCCCTTTCCATTTGCCAAGGAATCACCACCATACAGCGGCTCATCCTCAGAACACGCATCTTGGCTCGACCGATATGACCTCAATTTCGACAGCTTTTCTGCCGCGTCGGATCAGGAGAAAGTTTGCATTAGAATAAGCCGAATGCCTCGGCTCTTCCTTCTCCATGCTGTCATACTGGATCACCTGGGTCAACCCACAAAATATCAAGACATGACTTTGTAAAGAAGCCTGTTTGTTCGTAACATGTTGGCTCCGGTTGATGTTACGTCTTTAGAACTAGATGGTGCGACGAATGCTTTGACTCTCTCCACAATTAGGTTAACATTTCAACTATACATGCTGTGGTCCTCTACATGTAATACATTACTGCATGTAAAAAGCATAGAATTACAGTTATGAAGTAACGCATGTATTGAATCTTTATCAGAAGATTGTCATCCCTAGTAGTTATAGACGGCATAAATTGTATTGATATAATTGTAAACATTGCGTGGATTGAATATGCATGTATGAAATATGAGTATACTAGTCTTGCAATGTATACTCATACCTTAGACGACATTAGCACGCAGTATCATACAATATCCACCAGCAATGTTGGTTAACCTTTATCATTTTAAATATTCATTATTATTGTCATTAGATAAACTGCATTTAGTCTCTAAGCATCACGTTATAAGTTATCGTATATCCAACAGAAAATATGAAATCACTTATAGAAAATAAAATTCACACGAAGATAGATTGCAGGGAGCAAGTCATAAAATAGTAATCTAATTATTGCAATGTTAAGTGAAACCAGCGCCAACTACAGAAGTAGGTATAATTTGTTGAAGAGGTTTATTATACACTTTAAGAAGAATATTTCTCAAACAGTGACGTTTTCTTACCTTTTAAAAATCGTTACTGATCGAGGAATATGCTTCTAACCAATGTGCATTTCGTAATATTCTTTGATGAACTAAAAAAGTGTAAAGGCAGCCCTTATTTGTCTATTCTGTTTAATTGATGCGATTTCTACACAGTGAACGCAGCCAGAAGGCAATGCCACGCTGGCGTAACTCACAAGACTCATTACCTGGACGCCTGACAGTTTAGGCGACAAAGAACATTCATCAAGCGC